CTAGATCGATTTCGAATTTTCGACAAACCCTAGACACTCGATTTTCTCACCGATGCCAAGGATAGGAAGAGATTGCTCGACGGAACACAGAGGATCTCGAGAGAGGAGGAGGATGAGTGACACAGAGGATCGCGAGAGAGAGTCGCGATTTGTTTTCTTCGATCGAGAGAGAGTTGAGCTTTTTTCAATTAAAAAAAAAGGTTATGGGCTTGAGGGTTAGCCCGAGTCTATTTTAAACCGGCCCTATTTTAACCCATAACAAAGTAACGGGTTTAGGGGTTAAGAAAATGAACGCGGGCTGAGCTAACCCTATTAACTAAAGCCCATGACAACATCCCTAATCATAGTCAAATGACGTTAAGGGACTCCAAAAGAAGTCCAACTCAGAGTCCTGTGGAGAAGGAGGCGAGTTCATCTCTAAGAAACTATCTGCTTCGTAAGTCTCATGAGGTGATAATGTCTCTTGAACCTGAACAGGTATGGTTCCACTAGCCATCAAGTAACTGACCACTTCTAGTTCTGACTCAACGAACTCGTGTCCTTGGATGAATTCGCGTAGAGCGTTTGAAACGTTTCTGAGAGACTGGATATAAGCGATGTGAGCAGAAGCAAAGCTAGTCCTATGTTCCACCGCTTGTTTTATGAAACGTTTCCTCTCCTTGCATATCTGAACAGGGTTATCCTCTCTACCTAACTTTGAATTAGGACATCCCATGTTCAAATTTCAAAGCTCAGATAAGTATTGGAGGAAACTGCAGAACTAAGAATATGTAATATCAGATTTTTAGCATGTAGTGAAAACGCAACAGAACATTAATTGACGACGCCAAAACGTTTCTCTAAGTGTCTTATAGTCATTTTTGAAAACAGGGTTGGACTGGCCGGTGGAACCGATCTGACAATGACTCGTTGAAGAAGCCGAGACTAGTTAAGTTTAAAATTGGATTTGAGAAAAATTAAAACCGAGACTCGTTGAAGACTCGTTGTACACAAATATATTGGCTTTCATATATTATTTTTATCTTGACATATTCATAAAATATGAATTTAGTTTTAAAACTAAAAAATATGATAATTTGAACAATAGTTTGGTATATATCAATTTCAATTTTACATGGTATTCACGTGTTTACAGTGTATATAGTTAAATTTATGTTTATTGTTAATTTTTTAGTTAATAAAGTGAAAACATATATTATATATAGAATTAGTTTTTAAGTATATATAATATAACTATATGATTATATATATATATATATATATATATATAATTTAAAAATAGAAAATCCGACAGTCTAATCAGATAACAAGTAGTTATACTGAGTCGATGTCTTTGGTTTCAGACCATTGCTTATAGTTATGTCTTAAATTATGATTTTTCGAAGACAAGAACTCTTTAAAGTATCTTATATATTATGATAGTTAGGGATGTGCATTTTATCAGTAAATTTTATTTCAATTTGATCAAAAAAATCTGAATCCGTAAGTTTTCGAAGCAAAACAAATTTTCAAAGTAATATCATTTAAAAGCGAATCAAATCACAAATATTAAAAAAATAGAGTTGAATATCCTATCTGCTCCTAGTTTTATACAAATAAATGTATATATACAATTAAATTTATAGTTTATATAATTATTATTTTAATATATAATTATATTAATATTATGTATAAATTACTTATAGAAGTATTAAAGTAAGAAAGGAAGATGATTCTTATAAAAAATATAATTTAATAAAATTAATGTTATATTAAACAAAATTAACTAATTTAACAAAATTATGAAAATGTAGTTTCACTATTCTTTATTTTTATTATGAATTTTTTTTTTTTGAAAATAAACATGTGTGGTTTTTTATTTGTAATGAATAAAGTGGATAAGATATCCGTAATTATTCATAAAATTTTCGGATATCCGTAATTTTTTGAAACAAAGCAAATTGTAAAATTAGATATCCGTAAATTACAAAGTAAACTGCAAATACTGAAAATTATGGTAGTATATGATATGTGCTACCCCTAATGATAATGATAGTAATGAGATAAATGAGTAGAGAATCTAAACTCCTTTATACATTTGTTTATACTTTTCTCACTGACTGAGGGATCCAAATATATATATATATGTATATTAAAGTTTTTATATTTACTTTCTCCTTTCAAAATAGATAATGTTTTGGAGAGGTTTTGATGTTTTAAAATATATGATATTTGGTTATTTATATTTATTTTAGTTTTTTTTTGAAAACTGTGTGACCAGTAATGTTTCAGATTTTTTTGTAATGATTGGATGAATTAATTTTAGTTTATATTTATGATGTTAATTTTTAGGAAAATGTGTATGTCTTAATTTTTGTGGTTTTAACTAAAACATGAACTATTTTGAAAGTACTTCCTCTATTTCAGTATGATGTATGTATTAGTTTTTTCACATATATTAAAAACTTATGAATTTTACATTACTAATGTACTTTTTGTAATATACTATTTCTCAAATTTTTAATCAATAGAGTTTTAATAAATGTTTTGAAGTTCACAATTTAATATTAACTAATACATCGAAAATGTGGAATATGAATTTTTTAGAAACAATTTTCTTTCTCTAAAACATGTATTATGTTAAAACAGAGGGAGTACCAATTTAAACAGAGAGAAAGAGAACAAAACCTTTCCAGTGTTACAATCAGCTGAGCGTGAAGGAGGAGAAAAGAGAGGGAGCGTTTGAAGAAAAAATAACAAACGGTCAAATGATTGTATGAATAGGAGAGATGATGATGATGCTGGATGATGATGATGATAAGTAGATGAAGAATACGACTTGTAGATGATGATGCTGGATAAGTAGATGATGATACTAAGTTTTTTATTTTATTAAAACTAATGTCCAAAACAATCTGAGATCCGAAACAGTATTTGCCTATTTTAATTGAATTCTTGCAGATTTTTATTATATTAAACTAACTAGGATAAGACCTGCGCCTTGCGCAGGGTGAATATATGTAATTAAAATATAAAATTTTAATATTCACAAATTTAAAATTTACATATGATTGTTTTTGTATGTATTTGAAATTTTAGAATTTTTATATAATTATCTATACGTATGATCAAAAACAACTTTAATTAGAAATGTAAATCAAATCTTAGAATTTAATGGATCTGATTTCATATATCTTTTTACTTTTCAGTGTTCGAGTGATGGAAAATAAATGGAGTGTCACTGGGCTTGATTGGTAGAGTATAGCAAGTTCCCTAATATTTTTAAAGAAGCAATTGGTAAAATATTTGCAATTAAAATATATAAAGTTTCTAAACTA